TGCAAACACATTGGGACAAGTGGGCCAGGCCCTGTTAGCAGTCCATGTGCCATCTCATCTGTTCTCGCAGCTTCTGTGGACATCAATTTGCTTTTTATTTTATTTCACACAACAGAATATTTTGAGCCTGGCTATTTCATAGCAATTAAATAAGTGTTCTTGATTTTGTTGCATGAATCCCAATTGTTAGAGAGTGTCACTCATTAAAGGGGACAAAATCTATCACCAATTAAAAGTGACATTTGTTAAACGGTGGTAAAATAGAAGACTTTCTCATCTTAGTTTCCAGGGTAGTCTGCAGTTACACTCAATTATGTGTCTGCGCAACCAAAGTTTCTTAGTTGCGTCTTCAAGGGCTAATAAGTATTGCCACAAATTATGTTCAGAACATCTGGTCTAATTCGTCCTGAACTTTTCAAGTCTGTTAGTAGCATCTCCACCAGAGCTAATACCACGGCAGGTTAGTCACACGGGCAGGTCTTCATTATATAGGCACTTGAAGCATTCTGCAGTGGCCAAGGTGCATCACCCTGGCTACTCCTTTCCAGTGGATATTTCTTTCCAACTGAGGATTCGGAAGTCCAAATTAACCTTGGATGTGTCTTTCTAATGTCTCCGAGAAGCCTCTGAGGACCCCGAGGTAACGTTACATCTCTGAGAAAAGCATCAGGCCCAAAGATTCTTGGCTCACACACCAGCCTTGGGATAGAAATGTTTGCAGGTACTGGTATCCATGGTTTGCAATATATTTAAAGAGAATATCAAATGTGTTCATATGTTTATATCACAGCCAGACACGTATCAGTTAATAATAATCATCTCTATTGAACGCAGGAGCGCTCAGTCCTGGCTTCACCATCCCTCAGCACTGGCATTGGACACTTGGACTATGTGACTTCTTCCTGCACATCTCTAATCTAAAGGACAACAAGGGAGCTTGGACTCAGTGTAACCCTCTAGATTCCTATGCAATTGGAATAATAATACTATGTTTTGCAAGAGGCAGAGGCACAAGTGTAGCAGGAGACAGGGATCATGGTAATGTGCTAATTGTACAAGGAGAAATCATACAAACTACAGTAGCAGGTGAGCTGCCCACCTGTCTTAGGTACATCCTCGCAGGAGCCCTTAACAAGCTAGAGCAGAGTAAGATCTCATTTTGCCTACAAAGCAATCACAAAACCCAGCTGATTGGACCTGGGGGACTTCAGAGCCTCCTGCAAAGCCTAATCAATCCATCAAAGTTTCTGTTTCTTGGCTTCAAAGACCTTCACTCCCACCCTCCAGCTTTTCCTGGGCTGAGGGCCTGACTTCACACAACACAGAGCCTCTGCTGTCACCTTTTCCAGCAGGAGCCTTCGAGTGGGGAGGGCTGTACCAATTATGGTTTCCCAGTGAGTGATTCCTTTGTTTTGCTTTCCAGCCCTCTCCCCAGGGAGCCAGGTGGGGGAGGGAGGGAATAGGCCTTGCTGCAGAGCATGAAAGAAAAAAGGAAAGAGAAAGCCTGGAGGCCTAGTCGAGGGGGGAGAAGAAACGAAAGGAGGCAAGGGAGAGCAAAGAGAATTTGCAAATAGCCTCGTTAGGAAGATGGTGGGGGGAATCCTCATGCCTGAGACTTGAAAACTTAATTAAACAAGCCTAAAGAACAGTATCTGCAGGGAGATGGATAGAGCTCATGAATCCTTTCCCGTGCACCTTTCAGTACATCCAGTAGTAGCAGGAGTTTGTGCCCTGGCAGATTTGGTGCTTCTGTAATGCAAAAAAATCCACTTTGTTGCCTCTTTTCTCCCCTTCCTCAGTGCTTCCCGCCTGACAGACTGCGCCGCATCGGAGCGGTTCGGCGCGGTGTGTGGAAAGACGGGCACCGCCCTGGAGAGGAAGCAGTTTGACCGCACACGGATGGTAAATATAGCTTCCCCCCGCGCCGGGCGGCTGCTGCTCTCCCTGCCCGGCCTCCCTACCCGGGGGCTGGAAGGAAATGACACCTCGCAGCGCAGCCGGGGCGCGGGGGCTCTGCACCGCCGCACCCTGCTGGCTCCGTGCCCCTGGGGCCATCGCCAGCCCTGTGCCTGTCAGAGGGAGGAGACGACAGCAGCATCACCTTGGTAACCCATTAATGGAGGTGAAGATGGAGATGAAACTCAGCTGCCTGAGAGAGGGCTCCAGGTTTCCCCTTGATTTGAGGACATGTAGCTGTTCTCTACACCCCACCCCTCCGCCCTTTTCTTTTTTTCTTGTATGGGGGTATAATCCTGTGCAATCCTAAAAGGCATAAATAATCCCCTTGGGAGTGGAAGGGGGGTACAGGCTTCAGAACTAGCGTCTGGCCTATGTGGGTAGGTTTAAATGCTGGCCCTTAAGCCCGTAGCTAGTGCACCTTCCTAAGGAGGGCTCCTGCAGCGAGCCAGCCCTGGCATTGTAATTCTCCTTTTACTTTTTTTCGGACGTGCTCAAGTCTCTCAGAGCTCTACCTGAACACAGTAACAAGGGTAAGTGTTGCACCTGCCATGGAGCTCAGCCTTGAATCTGAAAGGGTGCTTTCTTTTCCTAAATCAGTCCTCAATATGGAATATTTTCTGCTCACAAAACAAGTTGTGGCAAGGTTGAAACAAAGTCTCTGCTCCCTTGCGCTGTTTCTGTGAACCTCGCTGTGCTCTTGCAGCTTGATTCTGGTTGCAGAACGCCTGGAAAAGTCTCCTGATAACCTCAGCTGAGCGAAAACAAAAAGGATATCTTCCAGTGCCGTGAGGCCAGCTTTCCCTGAAAAAACCCTTTGGGATCTGCCCCTGCAAGAGGGGAATGCCGCCATCTGGTGCCCGTATCTTGGTTTTGGCTGGACTAGGTGAGGAGGTGGATGTGTAGGAACTGGCCCCAGATGAGTCCAAGGCTCATCTTTTACTCAGGGTGGCCTGAAATCCTGCCTGGGCTTCCCGAGCACTTAGGATCTCCTCCCCAGATCCGCAGGAAGCAGAGAGACGCTTTATGCTGGAGGAGCGCCCAGTTTATGGGCCTCCCAGCAGCAGGGTCCAGGGATTATAAACAATGTCCTCAGATATAAAAGAAGCAGAAAGCAGGCGTTAGACTCTGAGATGCAGCTAAAACTCTTCACAGGAGTATTGCTGAAATACAGACTTTTGTAAACTGAGGGGACAGGTCAGAGGGACCTGCAGAGTTGCTGTTTGTAGCTTGTAAACAGAAGAGCAGTTGTGGCAGGAATAAGCACACGCAGACTGGTTTTAGTGTATCTAAAGATCAGACAGATGCTTCATTGCTTCTGTAGAAAATAGCCTTCATCAAGATTAGTGTATTGACAGGATGTGAAAATGGGCTGAATCCGCAAGAATTGCGCAAGCGAGTCCAGGTATGACACATAGTGACACTCAAAGTTGATCCAGGCTATCATCTTTTGGGAGACAAGAGGGGCATCATAAAACTGACTGAAAATGTGAGAACAGGGGGAGGGGGTTATTATTTTATTTTTGTCCTGCCAAAGTGTCATTGCCACAATTCGGACCTGTCTTTTGTCATGATCATTTGGTCTCCGTGTAATGCCAAAAGCAAGCTGAAAATGGGAAAGCTAAATGTTTGCATTTTGCATGATGTGCTGCTTAGGGCATGTGATTTCTAAAGCATGGTGATGGTGCACCTAACGCCATATAGAAGTGCCTTGACTGTAGCAGGTGGTACCTCCTAAATGAGTACTGAATTCCTTGCTCCCTTTGCAGGAGGTGAGCCTGTCTTTGAATAAATCCTCTGTTGCCAAGTCTGTCATCTGTAATTATTCCTATGTCACGAGTAGCTTTGGCGTGAAACTAAAGATGAGACACAGATTACAAGTTTGTCAGCGTTGCTCTCTCACTAGTGTCTTGGTGAGTATTGCAAAATTTAAAACACATTTCAAACGTACAGTGTGTGATAAAAGGAAGATGCTAGTAAACATTGCAGAAAAAAAATAATTGGGAAGAGTTGGGAAAAAGTTGGGTTAAAGTCAGGAAGGGAGGCAAACATGGGAAATCACCATCTCAAAGAAACCATTTGTAGTCAAATGGTTAGTTACAATTAACACCTTTGCTTTTATGGTGTCCAGAAATTAACTACCAGATATTTTAGGCTACAGAAAATTGTATTTCCTTAAATGAAAACTGATAATTGTCAGATAACTGTGTACATTGGAGGTGTTTTAGAGCACTGATTGCTTCAAAATTCTTGTTGGTTCTCTGCCAAGTGGATATTTTTGATTCTTAAAAGCATTTTACTCATAAGATGCTTCTAAAGCTAATGAGGGATGCTGTGAAAGGATTTTGGAAAAAATCAAATGAATAATGTTGGCTGGTCATCCTTAATCCAAGTATTTTGGATGTGCTGAGTGAACCTTTGCAGAATTCCTGAGCGGAAGACACAATGAGTGTACACTAATTTGTGCCCAAAATACCTTACTCTATTTAATACCTAGAGAAAACACAACCTAGAGAAAATTAATGTGTGTGTGTATATGTATATGCACAATACTCCATGGATGGTGGAAACGCCCCTTCTTGCCTTTGTAAACTTGAAATCTACCCTAAACTTTTGGGTAACCCTGAGTTTTGCCCTTGGGGTTAAGTAACTATCAGTGACTCGAGTTTTCATATGAGCTTAGGGCAAGGAGCTGAATAACATGACCGGAACGCAGAAAAATAAAGGGGGAAAAAAGGTTTATTTTTCCTTTAAGTTAAGAAAATAACCTGCCGAGGGTGTTTCCGCTTCCTTTTTTTTCCCCTGAGGGCGAGTCCAGAGACCGCTGCAACCCAGCGGTAACGGGCGCGACTGCAGGCGGGGACCAAACGGCCCGGGCGCCATTTGGGGCTGCGCGGCCGCGCCACAGGGTGGGCGTGTCCGGCGGAGGGGGCGGGACCAAGGCCCTGTCAATCGACGCAAAGGAGCCTTCTCATTCGCTGCCCGGAGCCCTCGCGCGGGAGCGCACGGCCCGTATATAAGAGCGGGAGGGACCAGCGCTTGCCGCCATTTTGTCCAGTGAGGAAAAGCGGAGCGGGAGTCTCATTGCGGGTCGAGCCGGCTGCGAAATTAGCGCGGGCTCCCTTCGCCCGCACTCCCTCTTAGCAGCGGTGAGGAGCTTCACCTCGGAGAGCGGGGAGGGGGGGAGGCGGCAGCCGCGGTCCCGGTCCCCGGAAG